ACCTTGGCACGTGGCGGCGTCCACTCAACGAAGGCCACCGTGTCGGAGACGTCCCGCACCAGGATCTGCGTCGGGCCATCGATAACTGCGGAGCAGGGGGGGGAAACAGGCACCTGTTATTTTGGGATGGGGAAAGGTGGCAGCTTTGGGGACACCAAGCTTCAGGGATGCTTCAACCTGACCTTCAGCCTGGCCCAAATTAGCAGTTGGGGACAAGGCAGGGAGGTGGCATGGGCAAGAGACGTGACCCTGCACTCCAAGGTACTCAGGGGGTTTGGTCCTGGTGGGTTTCTGGAGCCTTGTCCCAATCTCCCAGCTCTTTCCTGAACCCTCTCCACTTCACTGATGTCTCTCCCAAGCTGTGGACACCAGAGCAGCACCCAGCATCTCTCCCATCAATGCCCATTAAAGCTATAATGCAACACATGCCCTTCTCTCAAGCTGGTATCAGCAACAATTTCTCCCCGCTTTTCTCAGGTGCATCTCCCAGGGTAAAACCTCCTAGTCTAGCTGCAGGTCACTTTCTTTGCTCCTAGATGACTGCTCATACTTTGTGATGCAGTGAAAAACATATAGTTTTTCTTCATGCTCAGCTCTTTGAGCCATTCAAACTGCTTTTATCGATGATCTCCTTCCACTCAGTTTACTGTTTTTTGAGCCTTTCCGTCACTGGCAAAATATATCAGCAACGATATTATGTCTTTTGAAAGGCGTTGACAATGTGTTAAATAACGTGGGGCCAAGGACTGATCAAAGCATCAAGAGCTGAGGAACATCTCTAGAAATGTTCCTGCTTTGGTGCCAGCTCCTGGTTTGTAATTAAGCTGAGGGATCAGCTCATAAATCTGCCTTAGCGGTGGGGAGGGAGGACAAAATGCAACTGCTCTGGTGAGTCTTCATAGCTAGCTGGGTGTGGGGCTATGGTGGGTGTCCACCAAACCCCCTCAGATAAAGGTTTTCAGCTAACTTCATACCAGAGGTCTGCTGGAGACCATTTTGGACATTTCTGCTTTCTTTTGTAGAGCACTGGGCCCTTCCCTCCTCCACATCCCCCAGTACTTGACCTGTGGAAATCACAGGCTCGAGCCCAGGTGATGGACGCTTTGAGTCCAGCAGGACGTAACTGCTGCTCGGACGGACGATGGGCCAGGCCTGGCCATCACTCCTGTGCCATGGCAGTGTTGATGCAGGGAGCTTCCTGAGCAGCCCATTTTAACACTTAATTGATCACAAGGTGGGTGAAAAAAAAGCCCCACACTGGTTCTGTAATTCAGGCTATACTGCATGCAAGTACGTCTGCTATACTGTACATATGAGAAAATGACACCATATAATAAGGATGTGCTGAATGCTGCACCCCAGGGTGGGAAGTTCTGGGGGAGGTGTGTGTGGGCAGGACCAGGGAGGGTTAGAAAAAGACCTGTGGGGGAATTGGGAGCAGTGGGGTGAGGTCTGGGGACAAAACAGCAATGGAGAAGGGCGGACAGCTGGGAAGCAGGGTGCTTAGGTAGGAACTGGGTGTCCACCTTGGCCATGCTTATCCAAACCCCGAGTCTCCCACTACCTCAAGTTGTCTGGTCACCCAGGTGATGCTGGGGAGCATGAGGTTCTACTTAGCCAGGCAGCATGAAACCATGCTTGTGCTGCTCAATCCTGGGACAAGGTGTTGAGGCAGAACAAGGATGATGAGGGCAAAGCTACAGGGGTGCCACAGAGGAAGGCAGACATGCCAGCGTGGGGACACCTTCACGGAGCAGAGAGCTGGGAGCCCACCACTCCATCTGTGCTCCCCTGCAAAGTTCATCCACTGAGTTTGAAGTATCAACTTCACTTTTCATTTTTTGCTGACTTCCTTGAGAAAGGATGATTTGGGCTCGACCAGGAGATGTCTCTGTTAAGCCATGTTGAGCTGAGTGCAGAAGCAAAGCAGGAGGACCGTGCTGAGGAAGCTCAGACCCACACCAAGCTGTTGCTGATGGAGGGACCCTCCCTTTGCTTTCACCGTTGCCTCAAATTAGCAGCCTGGAGAGACCATCAACTCGTTATAACCCCCTGGCAGCTATTTAAATGCTGTTTCCGTTTGTAACAGCTTGGGTGGAGGTAGATGTCTGCCTGACTGCCAAAGCAGATTGCAGCAGATCTGTTGTGGAGAGCCTCTTCTCCCCAGTGAGCTTTGTCCATCTTCATCGAGAAGACCCAGTTAAATTTCCTCTAGTCTACAGGATGGACCAGTGACCAGCTGAATAAATTGATCAGGAGGGGATATGCTGTTGCTCCTGGCTCCCTGCCCTGCTGCCTGAATTGGTGGGAGTCATTTAGTGGCACAAAAGCAGGTGGGAGTTTTAATCTATTATATATGAATAGGCAATACATTTACAGGGATGTTTCTTGGGTGCGTCTAGCCTCTCAAATTAGCAGAGAAGAGGAATTTATCCAGGTATATAATAATAATATGCCTAAGCCTTCACTCCCAACTCCTCCTATGGTTTCCGTGCTCACAGGAATTTGGGCTGGAGAGGAACAGAATACCATGTGAAGAAGCTGTTGCTGTGGTGCACCAGTAGCTCGGGCAGTTGGGTGGTGCTTGTTTTATCCCTGCCCATGCAGTGCCGGGCCACTCTCGCTGCTGGGGCTTTGTTTTGGGGGCTGAGCTGTGGGCACTGCCGTGCTGCCTAGGGCTGTGCTCACTCACGAGTGGAGACGCTGTCAGAGGTGGGAAGGCTCCTGGCTTGTTCCTTCAGGGCCACCAAGGTGACGGTGTACTCTTCCCCTGGCTTCAGTCCTGTCTGGTTGAAGGTGGTGACGGTGCTGGGGAGCTGGGCGATCACGCCACCTTCGTTGTTCTGTTGGGAAGTGGAAATAACCATTAAAAAAAAAAAAGTGTTTTGTGGAGATTGATGCAGAGAGAGGAGGTGCCCCCAAATCGCATCCTCACCCTGGCACGTCCCAACATGGAGGTACACAAACCCAGGGTGAAGTCACCCACTAAGCGTAGAGCACCCATGTTACTGGGCTGAGAATTCCTTCTTCCCCCTTCTACCCCTCTTCTGTATTTTGCCATCAGTGTGTCTGTTGTTCTCCAGAAGATAATAAACCCAAAGCCTGGGCTGGACTCCTTTTCCCTGCTATTCAGGTGCCAGGAGCCTTCTCTTGTTCATATATAGGTATGAAACTCTAAGGTCTTTATTTTGCCATCCCTTGCTTTTAAGTATCTTTATTAAACTCATTATACTTTGTGGTTTTGCTCTGAAAAACTGTAAGGCTTTAAGTAACTGCAAATGTCACCTTTCCTGCCAGTGTTTGGACAAAGGATCTTTTCTCGATTCCGTCTTCAGTAATAACACACTAAACAAATCTTTGCACATAGCTCTCCATTCATATTCATTTCTTCTCTCATTAAACAGGAAATCTTCCATTTTAGCCATAAATTGCCAGCTTACCTTTCCTAATTTTCCTTTCTAAATCCGTCTTTTCCTCCTCCTTCCTCCTCAGTGCATGCAGCAGATGGGCAATCCCCGCCCGACCCCGCTTTTGGGGGGCGAGAGCATCGCGGGGACAGCGGAAGGAGGATTGCTCTGCGGGAGGGTGTGAGCATCCTCGCGGGGACGCCAAGGACCGAATTAGCATCCTCTCACCCAGTTTTCAGGAAGACAGAGCAAGTTCGATTTTGCTCGTGGAGGTTATTTGTGACGCTGCTGTTATAACTGTTTTTTTCACACTGAGGCATCTTGCACTAGGTTTTGGTTTTATTAGGGTGTGGCAGTGGTTTAGCATTTGCCCGAGTGACCATGGCTTCCAGTGAACTAAGGAGACAGCACCCTCTGCCTTATTTTAGGGGAAAAACTGGTGATGGAGAATTGAGAGTCCCATTTTGGCAGCGGACAGGCAGGAGCATGACTGTGTCTTTGTGGTGCAGGATCTTGTGCTTGACGGATGGATGTGAGAACTTCAAAGCCCTGAGAGCTATGTCCCTTCCCCCCCTCAGACACCTGCATCCAGGAATGGCCATGCTTTTATGCTTTATCCCTTCCTTTAAATCCTGAAATGTTTCTGCATGGTTTTAAGTTTTAAGGTTAAAAACAGAAATGGGGCCAAGGGTTTGTATTTGTCAGTGAGGAAAACCTATTACTGATGACCCTGTGGGAGGTTTGCTTCTGTCCTGGCAATTCCTCACCCTAAAATGGATATATCCCCATTTAGCTGCTTCAGGGGGATGTTCTTGAGCTTAATTCCTGAGTATCAGTGATAGCTACTTTTTGTTGCTAAAAGCTCTTCCCTGGCATTGCCTTGTTGTTTAGACTTGTATCCCAACGGTGAACGAAAATTACCCCAGGGTTTGTACCTGCAGTACCCGAACTTTGACTTCTGACACTATTTGTCTATGGGTGTACCCAAAATTGCACCCAGATCCTTACAGCCTTTTTGGAAGGGATGGAATGAGTTATTTAAGCAATTGGGCCCTTGCTTCATGCTGTGTAACGATACTTTACGGTTAAGAGCCTTTAAAATCTGGGGCCAAGTTCTGCAGTGCTCTACTGCCTAGAGCTGCCTTTGACTCCACCGAGGGTTTTGTACAAGTGAAAACGGTATAATTGAGCCCTTAATCAGCATTTCTTTTACTGCTGGGGCTTGAAAGCTCTTGTAAAGAGGCTCCATATACAATTGAATCTATACTTATGGCCAAATGGTGTAGAAATTATGAATATAGATGAAATACTTGATGTACAATTTTTGTTGCCACACATAGAAACGATGTGATTTTTAGGGCAACATTTTAATCCTTTCATCTTTTCTGGCACAAATTCTACCTGTTCATCACTGCAATTAAAATTCCGTGGCAGGAATTAGCTGTGCATGTGACGTGGGGATGCTGAAGGTTGCTGTCTGAGAGCAGGCGGCTGCTCGGTTCCATCTGGGCTGCTTTGGCTGGCTTAGAGTGCAGAGAGAAGGGGTGAGAAGGAGGAGGAGAGGTCACAGCAAAGGAGGTGGAAGGGAAAAAGAAGGGGTGACAGCAAGAGCAGTGAGGCAGGAAGGTTTACTTATTTATACGCTCGTCTCTTGATATTGTTGTGGAATTTCTTTGAGGAGATGTATGTCTGGACACCAAAGACTACTGGGGAAACGCAAGCTGGCAATTTGAGGTTGTGGTGTTTGGGGTCATCTGATGTGAAGCACACAAACTGCAAGCACAGCTTGGGTATTTTTGGGGGCTTAATTAGAAACTAATTTAGATCCGCTCACTCAGTGTTTTATGGTGACTGGGTATAGCTTGTGACACCATGCATGCAGTGGCAGTACCTTGGGGATGAAGCTGATCTCCCAGCCATCAAAGGGGAAGGTGAAGGGCTCCCACTGCACCTCCACCGTCGTCTCCGTGATGGTCTTGAACTTCAGCCCCTGTGGCGTTGCGAGGTCTGGAAGGGACCAGGGGGAGGTGAGCAGAGCAGGACAGGTGCCTCCCACCCCCACCCTGCTCCCTGAAGCTATTCCATTATCTGGACAATGGAAATGGGACCCTTCTGGTAGCTGTTAGCAGAGTCATTGCCCTTTTGTCCCTTCTCTGGGCAGGTTGGAGGGAGGGGAGGGAAATGCCGGTGCTGCTGAATATCACGGCATCCCTTCGCATTGCACCTAACTGCACTGTGCAAACAAAATGATGGGGTTACAAAATGGGGGTCTGGGTAGCCTGTTTCCCCTCTACCCTCTATATTTTTGGTTTCTAAGGATCGTTTCAGGAGTTTGCCATTATAGTCTAATACTCTTGTTTTTCTCTGTGCATCACCGTCCCAGTCAGGACTACATATCTCCCCATGCACAGCAGCATCCCCTCTTGCTGCACTGTTGCCCATGTCATTGGGATTCATCACAAGGAACCCATCCAGGACTGGGAGGAAAACCTGTGACTTCTGTGATGCACTGTAGTATGTTCTAGGAGGAAAAAAGTATAAGATATTTTGTGCCATATTCTGGGGGCTTCAGTCACTGAAAGTTTCTTTGATTTTTCAGTCATTTGGGTTTTCCTCCAGACTGAGTCTTTATGCAGAGTGGACACATTTCCCCCTTTCTTATATCCCCTTACAGATATAAATGTGGATCAAAATATCCTTTTTTTTTTTTTTTTAAGGCTCAATTTGCTGCTGCTACAAGGTTTTTATGAAAAATGTGAGCCAGCTTGAGCATCACCTCTGGTTACCCAGGTACCAAGAAACAAGTGCGGTAGGATACTTACTGGTCATCACCTTGGAGGTCACAGGGATGCTCAAGACGTCGCTGATAACTGCACAGACACTGATGTTGTAGGCAACACCTGGCTCCAGTTCTGTGATGGTGATGCTGCTCCAGTCCCCAGGCACCCGCTGCTGGAGCTGTGTCCCCCCTGGTCCCGCTGGCTGGTATGAGATGACGTACTCTGTGGCTGCCCCTGAGCTGTCCCACGTCAGCTCAATGGAGCTGTCGCTGATCCCTGTCACTTGCACGTTTCCAGGAGGAGCCACTGATGGGAAGGGCAGAGATAAGGAGAATGTCAGGGTGTGCGTAGCCTATTCTCCCACCTGGGCACAGGAAAGGGTGTGTGGGTCTGCTAGTAGGACACGGATGCAAGCTTTGGGTTGGGGGTTATGTGCTATCTGTTGTTCTACCAAATGCTATAGCAAGGTAAAGGCTCAGGAAAACCTGGCTGCAGCTTCTTTTGATACCAAGGGTTTACCATCAAAGTTGGGATGTACCTTGCTGGCTTTTTGCTTGGCCCCCAAACTTCTGTCTGTGGTGTCTCCGGGGACAGGGACAACAGGGAGGCCATCAAACTGTGGGGCCTGAGTAGATCCTATGTGACATGCTCTGAGCAGGTCTTATGTGACATGTTCTGCTGGATATGGGTTTCTCCCAGGCTTCGTGGTGTTCCTACAGGGTTCTGGCCATCTTAAAGCTCTTACTCATACATTAGGGTCTGTCTCTCCCTGTGCATGCCCCCACTACCTGCCGAGCAGTCCTGCCCATCGTAGCCTTCCTCGCAGACGCAGAGGCCATCCCGGCAGACCCCGTGGCCACTGCAGGCATTGGGGCAGTGCAGCCACCCGCAGTCCTCCCCGGCATAGCCCTCCTGGCAGATGCATGTGCCATTGGTGCAGTGGCCCTTCCCTGAGCAGTCGCGGGGGCACCGCAGCTGGGAGCAATCCTCCCCGGCGAAACCCTCCTCGCAGATGCACTCGCCGTCCACGCAGAGCCCGCGGGAGCCGCAGCCAGCAGGGCAGCGGAGCTGGGAGCAGTCCTCGCCCCCGTAGTCGTTGTCGCAGATGCACTGGCCCTCCAGACAGACGCCTCGGCTGGAGCAGCCCCGTGGGCAGCGGGGCTCGGAGCAGTTGATGCCCGCCCAGCCCTCCATGCACACACAGCTGCATGACTCCAGGCTGAAGTTCCCGTGGCCGCTGCACTGCGGGGTGTAATCCAGCTGCCCTGCAAGGATGTGGGACCGAAGGTCAGAGCCCAACAGATGGGAGGTGGAAAAAGGTCAGGGTTGGCCTTCAGTCAGCCCATCGAAGGGCTGTGGGGAAGGGGGCAAGATGTGGGATGATCCTCCTACTGGTTGAACATGCCCAGCTCTGGGGAGCTGGTGGGTTTAGGGCTGGCAGAATTGGACTCATGTTGGGGCTTGGGTTGGTCCCCAGGAGTTTGTCTGTTGCCTTGGGAGCACTGACCTCCATGGCTATGGGTGCCATCAGCCTTGCTGGGGTGCAAGTGCTCCCTTTGTTTTTTTTCTTTCAGCTTAGCATTCAGTCAATGGGAACCTCCCCAGACCTCTCACTGGGAAGAAGCCTTCCCTGGCCAAGCCCTCTGCCCAGCCATGACTCCTGGTATCTCCTCTCCACCCCATTGCTCCTTTTTACAGATGTGAGGTTCCAGTCCGCTCGCTCTCTGTCCTACAAGAAACAGCTATGTACCCAAAGACATCATCTCCATCCCTGTCCTGGTGAGCCTGACTAAGACAGAGCCATTGGCTTTGCACAAAGTATCACTGGTTTGGGTGTGTTGGGGTTGTGGGAAAGTGGGGAAAAACATGTGACCAACACCTCTAATGTCCCCCTCTTTACCTGTCAGCCTTACACAGGAAGCTCTGGGGTGAGGAAGGATGCACAGGGATGAAGGCACCAATCACTCTGCCATTGCCAACACCCCCCTCTTTTGCCTCTCAACATGTACCCAGAGCTCTAGCTTAGGGATATGAATGGAGGAAGAACAGAAATCCCTTCTGTGCTTCCTCCAGCCTTTGGGAAACCTGTGCATCATGAAGACCCCAAGCCACAGGATTTTTTGTTCCCTCCCCTAAGTTTTCCATCCTAGCTGAGCTGTGTGAGCAGCCCTCTCGCTGATGGCTGCGGCAGATGCTCATGTAGAAGGGGTTCAGCTACATGCTGTGCCAGACAGACCCATTTGGGTTCCTTTGCAGGATGCTTCTCTTCTGAACTGTGCATACTGGGAATGGTGATCAGGTTCTCTTCAGAACTCTGCCTCTAGTTAAGTTATCAAAAGAGGATAGAGGATGCTTGTACGCGTGCTGGAAGAGAGCAGCTTTCCTTGGGGAAATGCCTTGGGCGCTGGGGTAGGGATCCTGATCTCTGTGGTGCAGTGAATTGAAAGCAACTCCTGTAGAAATAAATTAAATTACTCCAGTTTTAGCTCAGCACATCTGTGATCAGAGTAGAGGCTCCACCAAGGGATGAATGTTTAATGGGACTGTCTGTGTATGTTGCAAGTAACCCAAATAGAGTTTCAAAATAATTCCTTTAAAACAGGTCTTTCCCGTTGCATTTCCTACTTGATTTTAACCCTTGCTTTGCACACACCAGTGGCAAATGCAGGTGTTTTCCGTTCCATCTTTTTTTAACGCAGCCGATGAGTCTTGCATCGGGAAGGGATGCAGGCTGAGTCTGTGGCTGGAAATGCGCTGACTTCCACCAGCTGCACGGGAGAGGTCAGCCCGAGGCACCCTGCTGCTTGTGCCATCCCTGTTTCTCTCTCCCCAGCCCACACACAGTTGGTCCAACTCTGTTGGCCTGAGTGAGGGTTGCTCCCATTTCATTTAAATGTGCACCCAACATAGAGGAGTGGGGGTACCAACAGAAAATTCCCACTAATAACTGCAAAACTTAAAACAAGGCAGCAGGCACTGGGGGGAAAGGGTTGCTTTTAATTCTTCTTCCTCCCTGTTGTTCTTGGCCTGAAAAGCTGTTTTCCCCTGGAAAACATCCCCTGTGCGGCTGTCCTTGCTTGGAGTCTTTTTCCTGCAGGGATCCCTGGTGCATTGGAGCCCCGAGCAGGGCTGGGCTGTGCGAGGGATGAGGGATGGATGCCCTTTGGGACAGCCACTCTTACTGGCTTCCCTGAGCCGCAGGGAAAACCAGCAGTGTGGTAGCTCCCCCACTGCCAAAATGCAGCTTCTAGTCCGAACCCTTCTTAACCCATCTCGTTTCAACTGCGTGCTGCTTCCCTGGCTCCGAGGATCAGCCATGGTGAAACAAGGGACTGTCTTGGATGGGGTAACCCTAATGTGGGCTCTTGGAGAGCTTCACAAACCACACATATTGTTATTCAGATGAAGTATCCTGTTAATGGTTTTGTGCC